CCCAAATTTCATTTTATTCCGGTTTTATTTTACATATATATATATATTTATTTATATATATATATGTTTGTAGCTAAGTATATGTATTTATTTATATATATATATGTGTGTGTGTGTGTACTAAGGTACCTACTAAGTATGTACGGGTATACAAATATATTAGGCGGCCATAGGGGGGGAATTTCAATTTATTGAGCAGCTGCCGCGATTATTTAGCCATCTTGGATTTGAATATTAATAACAATGTTAAACATGAATACATATATGAATATATATGCATATGTACATATCAGCAACTATGTGAAGTATTCAAATGATTTTTACATTATAGAGAGAGTAGAGACATTTATATATGTATATCAATCGCTTACTGGACACCAAGTTAAGAACAGAGAAACATACATAACTCAACTCCAATACTTTTAGCTTAACAAATATCTGAATATACATATATATATATATATTTATAACAACCTAGTCCAAATAGTCCATAGTCTTGATGAACTTAACAACGGAGCCAAACAGCGTCCAGTAGAACTCATCCTCGCCGTACAGCTTCTTGCCCAGAAAGCAACTGATGTATTCCACGGTGGAGAGCAGATACGGGGGATTAGCCTGGCAGGAAATATAGAAATACATCATTTGAGTATTCAAGTGGCAGCTGGAGTAGCTCTTGCGACGCTTACCATGATGACAACGTAGATGAGCACGGGCAAGATATCGTCGGCGGCTGGCACACGGGGACTGGACATGCGCAAGAGGCTCATGATGCTGGAGATGCAGCTGCGAAAGGAGTTGTCAATGTCAATACATGGAACACTTGATATACTAGGCAACACCTACTTGATGATGCAGTTGAGCTTCTCGCGCGGCGTCTTGTAGGCGGCCATGTAGCACAGCTGCTGCTGGGCGAACGTCCAGGGCGCCTCGCCCAGGAACTCCTGGGCAATGCAGAGGGCTGGATGCGCCGGATGGACAAAGCGCTGCAGCTTGCCAATGTGCGCCGCCAGCACGCCGTCCCTGGAGACGTCGGCGTCCTCGTTGGGGAACATCACCTGCTCGTACATCTGCTCCAGCAACAGTCGCTCGATGGCCACGCGTGCCGCCTCCCGCTGCCAGTCGTCCTGCAGCCCGCTGTCGGCCAGCTCCTGCAGCAGAGTTTCGATAAACTCCTCGATCAGCTCCAGCCGCTCGTCGCTGACGCTCAGCTGGGCGAACTCGGTCTGGAAGGTCTGCAGCTTGGCCTGCTGACGACCCAAATAGAGACGGACTAGCGATTGCAGCAGACAGCGCTGGCAGCTGCGCGCCTCGCCGCGCAGCCGCTCCTCCAGTTGCTCCAGCTGCTCGGAGCGCAGCAACAGCTGCTGGCGATGCACGAGCAGGTACTGCAGATAGCTCTGCCTGCGCTGCAGATCGTGCTGCAGCTCCAGCAGCAGCTGGCCATGCTGCGGCCGCTCCAGCTGCGCCAAACAGCGCAGCGCCTCCGCCACATGGGATATCTGCGGCAGGCGCTGCAGGCTCGTGCACTGCGCCAGCTGGATCTGCAGATACAGCTGCAGCGGCGTCGCGTCCAGCTGCCGCAGCGTCGTCTGACGGAAGTCGCCGCTGTGCAGGTCTGTCTTTGAGAGAACCGTGCGCAGCTTCTGCTTGACGCTGCTGAACACCACGCCAGGTAGTTGCCTGCACACGAAAGAGACAGAGGAAGATAGAGAGAGAGAGAGAGAGAGAGAGAGGGAGACATGTATTAGATGCAATAGACAGAGATAGCAGCTGCTGCTACATACCCGCCATTGATGGCCTGGCCATGCGGCTGGGGCAGACCGTGGCCATTGCCCGTGGAATCGGAATTGGTTGCCTCGCTGGAGCTGCTGACCTTGCGCCTGTACTTGGCCAGAATGTCCTCGCTGCTATCACAGAAGTGGGCGCCGAAGCTGACGCAGGCGGCGTTGCGATCGAAGCTGACGCCGCGGTTCGGATCGCTCAGGCCGCTGCTGTGGTTGCTAATGATGCAGCGCTGGTTGGCCACCGACGTCGACATCGACGCCGACGCCGACGCAGCCTTGCTGCTGTTGCTGCGCCGATTCTTGAAGATGCCCTGCCGCAGCTTGTTGAGAATGCCGGCGCTCTGGTCGCGCTGATCCCGCTGCGCTCGATGCTTGTCCTTGTCCGCGCTGGCATCGAAGCTGATGCTCTTTGGTATGGCGCCGGTGGCCTTGCTGGGCTTGCCTTGTGCGCCAGCTGCAGCAGTAGCAGGAGCAGTGACGGCTGCTTCTGCTCCTGCACCTGCTCCTCCTGCTGCTGCTGCTGCTGCTGCTGCTGCTGCTGCTCCTGTTGTGGCGGCGGGTTGATCATCGTACAGCTGCAGCTGCTGCGCCTGGGCACAGAGCAGCTGCAGCTCCTGCTGCTTATCGTCGTCCGTCTTGGGCTTGAGGGACAGCAGGGCGTGCAGCATGATCTCGTGGTTCTCGTAATTGAGACTCTGATGGCGGCGCTCACTGCCGCCGGCCAGGATGCCGTTGCGTCGCCCATCCTCGCTGGCCGTGCGCTGCTCCATGGAAATGCGACGATGCTGGACACCGCTGCGCATCTGCTGCTCGATGCCAAACTTGTCCATCAGCTGCTGCACCAGGCCCGGCGGCTCCTCCTTGTCCTCGCTGTAGTCGCTAAAGTCGATCAGGTCATGGTGATCGTTGGCGCCCATCAGCTGCTGCTGCTGCTGCTGCTGCTTCTTCTTCTTGTGGTGATGATGATGATGGTGATGGTGGTGATGATGATGGTGATGCTGCGGCTGCTGCTGCTGCTGAGCCTGGCTGGTCGTGGTCGGCTCCTCCAGGTTGAGGCTCTGATTGGAAATGCTGCTCTCCGCCGACGTCTGCCGGCGCATGCAGGCGATGCCCATGAGCGGCGTGCTCTTGCGGCCCTCCGCGCCGCTGCACTTGTACTGCTGCTGGAAGCTGCTGTCGCCGCTGTCGCTGCCCAGGCCATGGTAGCTGGTGCGCACCGAGCTGCGAGCCAGCGAGGAGGCTAACTGATAGAGATGCGCATCCTCGTACGAGTTCACGGCGTCGAAGAAGGCCGAGTCCTCCTGGCTGCGCTCGCTGGCACTGGCATTCCCATTGCCATCGGCATCCGCATCCGCATCTGCATCGCCGTCGCCGTCGCCGCTGCTGCCCGGCGTCTGTTCCCCGTCGTCCAGCACAACGGCTGGCACCATGGGCGCCACAATGTCGGATTTGGCGGTTATGCTGGCATTGTCGTCCGTATCGATCTCGGCCAGCTTCTCGGAGTCACTGGCCAGCACATCTGTGCTCCAATTGGACTCCGAGCGCTGATCCGAGGCGTCCAGCGATGGAGCCGCTGCTCGGGCGAGCGCCTCCACCACGAAGTTGTTGTTGTCGCCGGGCAGCACCACAGCGGACGGTATCAGGGGCGTGGCAAAGTTGCGCTCCCGCTCCCTGTCCCGGTCGCGCTCCCGCTGCTGCTCGCTGCTGGCGTCCAGCGTCGTCTCCGAATCGCTGGCCAGCACATCCGTCGACCAGGTGTCCGAGATGATGCTCACGTTCTCGTCGCCCTCGAATTTCTTCAGCTCGAATTTGCAGAACTTGTCCACGATGTCCGAGCGCGCCTTGGACAGCAGCATCTTCTGCATCTGCGGCGTGGGCCGGGCCGCATGGTGGGTCAAGTCGCCGCCGGCGCCATCGCCATCCGTCACCTGGGACGAGGGCGTGTCGCGGCCACTGATGTTGGGCGTGCCACGGCCGGACACATTGGCGGACACCATGTCCGACAGATTGTCATCGTTTTCGACGTCGTGCGCATCGCGCTCCTGCTGCTCCTCCAGGTCCAGGGAGCTGACCACCGAATGATTGGCCGAGTGGGCCGCCTCGCTGATCGCCTCCAGGTTATCCGAGTTGCCAATCGAGGCGTCGTCATGGGGCCGCCGCATCGCATCCAAGCTGCTGACATCGTCCGCATTGGAGGACGCGGCTGCCGCCGCCACAGTCACGGGCGCAATGTCCTGCCCGATGCAGTTCATCTTCAGCAGGTCCTCCTCGGTGAGCGGCTTCAGTTTGTTCTTGGACGCCGCATTGTAAATGCTAAACATCAGCACCTGCTCATCCCCCTCCACTGGGGTGTCTGCATCTGGCCCAGCTGAAGCAGTTGCCACAGCCGCTCCATTGCTGGCACCG